GACATATAATGTCGTCACATGAAATCGCGTGCTTTTTTCAATGTCAGAACTTGACCTTATATAATAATAGTATATTTAACGTTTGGCAATGTTGTTTTTAATTCATTTTTTGTAAAATTGACGAATTTTTTAATTAAGAAACTCTGTGATTTAAAATGGAGCATTTGAGGTCGAAATTTAGCACTTTCAGAGTTTTAATTAATATATCGGCTGATTAAAGTCGTACAAAGCTTAGATTGGTGGAAATGGCTTCCCAAGAATTTTTGGAATACGGGGATACCTCTATTCAATGATACCACAAACAAACAGACAGACAGACGCTCGCATATTTTAATAGTATAGAAAGATTTAAGCAACACGAGGAATGAAAAATCCAGGATCATAAAGCCCCCAATTGGTCGCGTGAATTCGATATTAGCTGTTCGTCCGGAGTTGGATTTTTGATTAATGGGCATACTATGAATATGTAAAAAATGACTCCACTTGTGAAATTTATAAACTGCAGTAACCTTTTATAGCCGTAATAATCCCATGGACACCTCTTTAGTATTATTATTACAGCTAATTATAACATGGTGTTTCTGTATTTATCCTATTTATCTTACTATGTATATCCGTATATAAATTATATTTATATGTCATTATTAATACACCAAAACAGATGTTATTTAATTTATGAATTTAAAACTATATTGAATCTATATTGTTATCTCATTATGTCCTAAATCATTATTTTTAATAAATACTGGATGCGGGGGTACGATGAGATTGCAAGATGTACTATAGTAGGTGAACTGTAGATCCTTTGGAAAGCTTCAATTGCTCATTTCCTCAACCTTTCTTTGTAAATTTTTATAAAGCTCGCAATATTGTTCTTTTTTTCTTTCCTTTTTTCTTCCTTTTTTTAAATAATTAGTTAGTATGGGAAGGAATTATTAACTGACCCATGGTACATCGCTGGTGTCCCCCATACTTTTACCTGTACCTATACATATATGGACAACCTTCAAGTGTTTTGTTACAGTCAATGTATCTCTTAACCAAACGGAATCGTAAATGAACGAAACTGAGATTTTGAAGTTCAGTTGTTGAAGTATACATATATGTTGAATCATGTAAAAACTTGCTGTATTACGAAGTCTGTCTTACCTACCAAAATACTAAATGTGGAAGAACTTTCATTTTTCAAGAAAACTAGAAAATTTGTCTATTTCTTTAATACAGATTTAATACATTTGATATCTTATTTAATTACATGAAAGGCTTTGACATAAGAAATACAAAACACGAAATTAATTTCGCATAAAATGTTAATTATTAGAACTGATCATTTGTTACTGATATGTGAGTATAAAAATTGTTTCTAAATATGAGTATTAAATTATCACGAAAATTGATTTTGCACTTGAGGGTGACATTATAGTAAATTAAAATTTCTTGCTTAACAAATATCAAAGATCACAGTTAATGCCTTTTCATGAATATTAAAATAACGTTGAATAATCGAACATAAATTACTGATATTGACTTTACATATTGAATGTGCAGAGGTGTGCAGATGCTTTCCTCTGTCGTTTAATACAAATATCAGCCTGATGACGCCAAATCATGTATTTAATGAGATAACGTATATGATGTTATGCCCTTCCTGATGAATTATACGAATATTGACAGACGTTTACATGATTAGAGATAATGCTAAGCCTTAGTTTGTGAGATCTATCTATTTATTTTTAACTAATAGTTCATTTAAGTTGAAAGAACTTTCCTATTACTCTCTTTTCACCCACGTTTTTTATGCCAGAATGTGAATGAGATAGCGAGAATGTATTCCGAATTAAGGTAGAAAGAAGTGCTATTTAAGCAAGAGTTTCAGAAGTTAGTTTGAGGGCTTGTCTGCCTATTCCAGGCTTCGTTGTGCTGTGATTATTAGCGATTTGACGCTGTGACGTTGAGTGCTTCTAGCCATTTAGCTTTGTCTCTCCGATTTTCTACAAACCAAAGTCTTGCCTGCCCATTAAACTATCCTGTGAGCCGTTAGGCTATTCCACCACACCGTGAAATTACTGTTTGTTACATACTTCTGTAAAGCCAGAAGTGCTTGTCTTATTGTAACCCAAGTTGGGCCATTTGTTAATTTTAAGTTTGAATAAAAGGATCTTAGACACCCTTCTTCTGATTTCTGTTTTGTTTCACAAGGCTAAAAGATAATTTCCCGATAGTTCTTCTTTTAAAGTCTACCTTGTATGAATTTAGAAGTCAAACAACAAAAATCAGTGGTACATTTTCAAATTTTCAGAGGACTAGTTTCGATGGTTTTATCGAACCATCACCCTCAGCTGCAAAAGCGTATTTGCGCTTTTCAGCATTTCAGGAACTCAGAAGACGAGCTATTGCGTTTTTATAAAACACAATGCATAAGAATTGTGTAACAATGAATCATTTGTATGTTTAATTAAATTTGTCTAATATAAAGTAATACCAGTGAAGCAAAGCATAAAGGAATATTTAACAACCTCGGAAGCATCTCCAGAGAACAAAATATTTTTCACTCATGTTATATAAAATAATCAATAAAACAGTATTTGAAAATACACGAAAAAAGACAATTACTGTCGAAACATTGCTTGAGTACGTGCTAATCTATTACAACTTTTTGCACAATTTATGATCATTTTCAGACTAAGAAAATTTTATTAATTCGTAGTAAATGTGGTGTATTAAAGTTCTATATTGCGAAAACTGTTAACGAAGTTATTGTTGCTCTCAGCTCATATTCTTACAGGACTAAATCAACTTGAAGGCACTATTCTAGACTTCGACAATGCAACAAGTGACAGAAACGAGACCCTAGTTGATCTAATCTATGCAGTGATGAGTTATTATACATCTCACATTAGTTCGAGACCCTTCTCAGAAACAATTAGATATTTCCTACCGAAACATATGAATGGAAAATTGTGCACTCGCCGTGATTGTTGCCAAGAGTCTTTCACTTGCCACCTGGACGTGCGTTTCAATATGGGGCCGCTGCAGACAGCATAAGGTATAACAGAGCAAAGGAAACGTAAAAAATTAAATTTTAAATTAATGCCTAGATTTAAGTCACAGATCTGAACAAGCAATTGCAAGCTGGACGAGCAATTTGCTAACTCTTATACCATAAGAATACATGTGGTAGAAGGATATTCTGTATTACTAAAAATCTGCATAATAAGAGAAAGTAATTGTGGTACACTTTGAACTTAATTTGATACGAAATTATCTTCACGGAGCCCAGTAAGTATACTACGTATTCTTAATCAGAGATTCTTAACCAGAGGAATAAAAGAGATTTTTTTCTGTATCTACTTATTTCATTCTGAGGTTCTGTAAACCTGATAAATTGTTATAATAATTAGAAATTATTGTTTTTTCTCAAATGTTATTTCCTTTTACTAATTTTATTATGTAGTTTTCACGAAAATTTAAAGTAAATATATTACATATATCTAAGTCTCAAATTTAAAGAAATAAAAATATTTTTACTGGAAAGCATCTCGTGAAGCATGCATGAACTTATTGGGCGAAATGCAAGGAAGTCTATTTTCTTTTGCTGAAATATTTTTAAAACATTTTGTATTATCTGTTCTAGTCCAAAATCAAACGTGAATTCTACGTATTCTGCTTAATTGTTTAATTAGATTAATACCGGTTGCGACCGTTATTTTTTACTTTTTAAAAAATAAAAACATTCACACTAGAAGCTATTCTCACTAAAAATAAAATATAAACAACAGGAGCAAAGAAATAAAAAACAAGACAAATTTCATTTACACATACATCACGTTTCGAGAGCATTACGGCTAATGCTCTTTTGGGCTAAAAATATATAAAAAACACCATATTTTTAGAATTTCCAATAGACTGTCTCACACCTGGAAAGAAAAATATTTCATTTCGTACAATGCGTTGCCACTGCTAGGTTGGAAATAGTTGAAATTTTAATCTAAAATTCGTTAACGTTTAAAAAATATGAAATAGATTATGAGATATTTCTCCCGCCTTCTTAGCATACTTTCGTGGTGTAGTGGTCAGTACGCTCGGCGCGTATTCGAGAAGTTCGTGGTTTGAATCCCGGCGAGGGCATTTGCTCATTTTTCATGCCTTCTACTTCCAAAAAAATCCTAATGTCTCTACAATGTAATAAAACAAATTCGAAATTCAAAATTCAGGCTTCCAGGTGCCTACATTCGTCTGGAAGACTACGTTATTCAAAATTTGATGGCTCTAGGTATCGCTATTTTTTTCACATTGCGAGAAACATATGTACATTCATGCAGATTCTTCATTATTTAATTGCTTTAAATACAATGCAAGGGGATAATATTTGATGGTAACAACTTGGAAAGTGCTACAGCCGTGTAGAATGATTCGAAGTAAAATGCCGTTTCCAGATTAATAGCCCTTCTGGATTAACGCCCATTCGGGATAAAAATAAATATTATTAACCCAGGTCTCAAATTTCAGAGGAATTTTAAATTTTATAATTTAAATTCTGTTAACAAAATAGTTATAAGTTTTTGTTTTCATAGAACAATTATTCTGCAGATTTCGAAATGTGGGATCATAAATTTCATTCTTCCATAGTTAAAATCATTTGAACTGTTCGCAACTAAATATCGATGTTTCTTTTGTTCTTGATACCTTTTAATAGTGATGGTTTACAAAATTAAAAATACGCCTTGTTGGTTCTAAAAGAATTAGTAATTAGTTTTTAAAGAAACGAAATTACTTGCGTGATAGTAGAAATGCACTATTTTTAATTTTAATCCCAATTTAATTTTTATGAGTTACAAGTGCGAATACCTAAATAATATTGGGATTGATTAGTGTTATGAATTGTCAACAAGTCGCATTTGAGGAAACACACTGTATTTTTAAGGTTTAGATTTCCAAATTTTTTATATCTACCAGAAGTCAGGGTTGTTTACTAGGCTAGTACTTCTTTTTTTTTTCAGATCTGCTCATAATTCTGAGAAATCTGGCGACTCTTGTTCTGAAGGCTGTACATGTTCAAGAGAAGAGGAAAAAATCAGAGAAAATATTCCAGGTACGTTCTGTTTCATTCCTTTTCCACTAACGCTTCAATTTTTCTATGATATATATAGTATATATATATAACTTGGAAATACCCCTTTATAATACATGCTAGTGATTTTTGCACTTTTGCTAAATTTAATTTACTTTACAGTGAAATATTATAAGCATCTAATTGCTTCTTAAAATTACCGTGTTCTAAAAGTATTGCAAGCGGTATTTGATACATGAGTTTTCTTGGCTTTAAAACAAAATAATATAATGACTAATATAATGAAATCAGTAGCATTATTTTGAGAATAATTATGACGCTCGTGTTTGTAAAAATTACAACAAAATAATGGAATGATCATTAAAAAATAAATATTGGCCATATATTTCTAAATATAACATATATAAATTAATCAAGTTTTAGGCCAGTGTAGTTACATCATTATGGAAAAAACAATATTTTTCATGCCGGTGAAGATATCGATCGATGTTTGTAAATGTATACTGCAGAGTTGGCCAAATTTCATGTCAGCAAGAGCCGCACGTTTAAATTCAGGAATGTTCGAGAGTCGCATCTAGATTTTCTAAAAGCCAACAAGTTCATATTTACATCATTATAGAAGTAGTAGAGGAGATTTTAAATAGAAAGAAATCCCTGATAAATTTGTAAAAAGCGTCTAAACTAATTAATTACTTCTTTTTGGACACTGAATAGTTTTAGTTTCCATATTTCATACATATATTTTATATGCACGAGCCGCACTTTGGCCACCCCTGGTATAGTGTCTTTGCGGAATGAGGACGCTCTAAATATACGGCGAGCCGAAAGTCCGCTTGTGGGATTTGGTGGGAGAACATCGGATCACCTTTGGAGTGCTCTCCCTCGAAATTGGGGTAGAAAGTAGATGTCCAACATATATGAGACTCTGGCAATCATTCTTCATGAAATATGAACTCGAAAACAACAATAACAGGAGTTAGGGGAAGAAGATTCTACTCAATAAAGCATACGTGCAATATGTTTATTCAAAGGCTGTTGTTTTCAGCTCACGCAATGTTCAAGACCGAAAGACATAAATAATCTCATGGGTTACTCTCAGAATGTAAGATTCCCTTGCTATCATAAAGTACATATTCCTATGAAAACTTTCGTGAGCAAAATGGCTTAAACCGAAGAACCGATGATTATTGATTTGTAACGGGGAAATTAAACTGACTTTAATCTCAAAACTGCTAAATCATAATAATAAACAACGCATAAAGGATAAAAAAGGGCTTCTTTATACTAAATTAAAGAATCTCCTGATGAATGAATAGAGTGCATATTTTAGAAATAATGCAGATCCAAGGCATTTATAACTTTTCAAAATTGAAGAGGCAGCAAATAACCCGGAAGCTTCAGAATTCGTACCAAAGAAGAGAAGTGTTAAAGTCATAACTGTGCATTAAGGGACGCACCGTAGTTTGAAGTAGACAGATGTAAAAGAATTGTAAGAAAAGAAAACAAATGTTATAGTTTAACAGCAGGAAGAAATGAAACAGGGAATTTTAGACTTTAGTGAATGTCTTAATTTTTTTGTTTAATGTGTCTACCAATGTTTATTACTTTTACTGACTGACAAACTGAGACAATTATCTTAAGTCTGACTAAATAACTGAACGGTAAAAACGAAAAACCACGCCACTTCTCTTACTATTGCCAGAAGGTATATTAGTGAGAATATAAATCACTAAAGTCTCCAGAATTAATTTAAGTAAGAAATTTAAGGAAACTGAAAAATATTAATATTTATTTTTAAATAATGGCAATCAAATTATCCACATATTTTTGCATTTATATTTTCGCCTCATGCAGCTCAGAATATTCCATTTGTATTCAGTACCTTCCTTCAACATTCCTGGAAAATTTCCAAATGATGTGGAATATTCCTGACATATCACAGGAAATAATTTATGACTTTTGAGGCATATTCCTAGAATGTTCGAAGACTTCAAGACAATTCTAATTTGGAATATTTTTTAATCTTCTGGAAAAGAATGCCTCTAAAACATTTCAGATATATGTCATTGAAATGCTCTTCTGCATTGAAAAACACATCTTTCATATATTTCGAAATTTCATTTTTCGTGCAAATTTCCTTTCGAGAAAGAAACCCGACTCAAGCTGATGTCCCGAAAGCGTAGCTCAACCTAAAATATGCTGTAAAAGAGCTCTTAAAAGCCTCAAAAGATTAAGTTTTCTCAAAGCTAAACAAAGATCGTTCATTATCCAAACGAAAATAATGTACTGCAGATATATGCATAATAAAACTTGAATTAATTTATATATAAGCATCCCATAGAGATATCAGTGCAATCTTCACAAATAAGCACAAATAAGCAAGGCAAATTGCTTTAGGGTAGAAAATTTGAAAAAAATATTTATACTGTGTCACTCTTTAACATTCAAGTAAATCTATAAACGAAAATCCTCCATTTAAATTATTGTAAAAACTATATAATTTTTTACTTTATTAATAAAGTATTTTGATTATAAGCGTAAGCTGTATCAGAACTTCTAATGAAGTTTTACCAAATAATATGCAAAACATTTATTAAAGAAAAGGATTATCTTATGATTCTATGTCATTTAATATATTTATCAGTTTATTGAATATATTCACAGGTATATTCATGTTTTTCTGGGAATTCCATTATAAGAATCTAAAACGCTACCACCGCTAAGTAAATATTCTTTCAAATTTCATTTTAATTTAGTCTGAATAAGAAATAAAACATTTTTAGGGAATATCGTGCGTTCTCAGAGAAATCTCCTATTTCTATTCTTATTATTATTTATTTGGATATTTACACTCAACTGACTTTAAACTCAAAACTACTAAATCGTATGACTTTCCTTCCTTCTTTATTTTTATTCTTGATAATTTATTTGGAACGTTTCATGCAATACTTGGTTTCTTTGTATTCTTTTGTATTCAATACTTGGTTTCTTTGTATTCTTGGTTTCTTTTGTATTCAATACTTGGTTTCTTTGTATTCAATACTTGGTTTCTTTGTATTCTTGGTTTCTTTTGTATTCAATACTTGGTTTCTTTGTATTCAATACTTGGTTTCTTTGTATTCAGTTATCATCTTGATATCAAAATTTCTTTTAACCTTCGCGTTGAAATCCTAATGGTATTGTGTCATTGTTCCAAATGTTAAAAATGAATGTGGATACTATGGGTATGTATATACAGGGTGTCCCGTAAATGTTGCGACAAACTTCTGTGGGAGGTAGGGCACATCATAAGGATTAAGAATTGCACAGCCCAAAAACGTCATTGCACGCCGCCAGGAGGTGTTGTACAGGAGAGTTAGGAAAGTGAGGGTTGCCTCATTCGAGCGGTACGAAACGCATGGAACGCTATACGAAGCTTGTGAACCTGTGGTTCCAACGTGATCGGGTGCCTGTTCATTTTGGACTGGATGTTTGTAGCCATTTGAACAGATCATTCCCGTATAGATGGATTGGGCTTGGTGGACCGATTCCCTGGTCCTCATTTTCACCGGATTTATCCAGCCTTGATTTATTTCTGTAAATAACCATCAGAAATATTATGTATCACGATCCTGTTGTGTCTGAAATGGATCTCGTGGCAAGACTCGCCTGCGCAGCAGCTACAATCAAAGAAACAGAAACTCCCGGTGCGTTTGAACATGTCCGGCAATCAACGGTCCATCGGTGTCAGGCATGTTTGCCGTCTGATGATGCAAACTTTGAGCATCTGTTCTATTATTCAAGCTGTCGTACACCATCTGTAGCCATGTACAATAAATGTTTCAAATTAATCACTCTCTTTTTTTCTTTCCCATCTTCTACCTCTGCTACCACTTACCCCTAACATTTCCGGGTATGGGTTCTTATACAATTCTTAATCCTTATGATACGCCCTACTTCCCCCAGAAGTTTGTCGCAACATTTAAGGGACACCCTATATATTTAATTTCGCAAATGGTTTACAGTTTTTTTTACGACTTTATCTACTACTTAAAGTCTCTGTTTAAAATATGTATTTTAGATAACAAAGATGGTGTTTATGCACTGTTTTAAAATTTACGAAGCACTGCAACTACCAATGAAATTCTTCACAGAACAGGATTTTTATTAACTCTTCGTTGCCAAATGTATATATGCTATTTGGAAAGTTTTTATTTTGAAAGAGTATTATTTTTTATTTCATATTAGCAGCTCATACAATACAGATCATGTCTGAATGACACTGAGATATGCTGAATCCTTATTAAGCCGCTAGGGAGAAGTGCAGCATTTAGGGTAAGTGGTACGTACGGAACTATCTGCTTCCCCTTAAAGCTCTCCCCATGGAACGAGAAAGCTATTAGAAACGAAATACAATGTGAATATTTTTCAACAAATTTATGCAAGTTATTTGTGATCTACGCTACTCACAAATTGCGCAATATTTTAGCTCTTAACTGCGTTCTTAGTTTAATGCAATCATTGAGAATTATTGAAAATTGTATTATTAAGAACCAGTTTAAATAAACACTAAAATTTACTTTTGAGCTCAGGAAATGCATTAGGACACAAGAATTCTAAATCCTTAAGTGTTTTGTTAATTCAAATATTTGCAACTGTTTACAAAGTTAAAAAGCAGTTTTTTATTTATTTAATTTAAATGTGAAACATCAATATGTTTTTCTAATATTAAATCACTGCCTTTTATTAATAGCAAGAACAATACACCTAGAAAACATAACCTATATTTTAAAAGACAATATATGAAATATTTTATTCCATATTATGAAAAACAGTGTCTTCTTTGGAGATGGATTTAAGAAAATCAACTGAGCATAATCAAAAATAAGAGATCAGTCAATTATTAAAAAAGGAACGAAAACTTTCTAATGACTGGATTGTGATCTAAAAGCGAAATATAATATCAATGTTATTAAAATACATATTTAAAATTTCATAATCGTACACCATTTAATTATAAAGATCTTAAATTTTAAAATTAC